TTGGGCAGTAGTAACCAGCAGCACACTTACAAGATGGGAAACTCCCTTCTTGAGAGCACGGAGGCAGAAAGGGATCTTGGAGTCATCATTGATCCCAAGATGAACATGGGCCGACAATGCGAGGTCACAGTCGGCAGGGCTAACCGGACCTTATCGTGCATCCACAGGTGCATCTCAAGTAGGTCCAAGGAGGTGATCCTCCCCCTCTACGTGGCACTGGTCAGGCCGCAGCTGGAGTACTGTGTCCAGTTCTGGGCACCCCACTTCAAGAGGGATGTGGACAACATTGAGAAGGTCCAGAGGAGGGCCACCCGCATGATCCAGGGACAGCAGGGCAGACCCTACAATGAGAGGCTATGGGACCTGAACCTGTTCAGCCTTCACAAGAGAAGGCTGAGGGGGGACCTGGTGACCGTCTATAAATTTACTAGGGGGGGCCAGAAGGGAATGGGAGAGACCTTGTTCCCCCGAGTGCCTCCCAGAGTAACAAGGAATAATGGCCACAAGTTGTTGGAGACTAGGTTTGGATTAGACATCCGTAAGAACTACTTCACAGTTCGGGCAGCTAGGATTTGGAACCGACTTCCAAGGGAAGTGGTGCTGGCTCCTACCCTGGAGGTCTTTAAGAAGCAGCTTGATGCCTACCTGGCTGGGGTCATTTGAGCCCAGTTTTCTTCCTACCCAGGCAGGGGGTCGGACCTGAAGATCTGCAAGGTCCCTTCTGACCCTACTTCTATGATTCTATGATTCTATGACCCTAGCATCTAGCATCTATGAAAAAAATGCATATCAGAATGAATGCACACTGAAAATCTATCAAGGATAAGAATACCTAAGTACCTGTGAAGGCACATTTCTCACAAGAAAACCACTCAATCTCCAATCTCTCAGTTCTAATCCTCAAAGGGAATTTACAAAACACCTTTCACAGACAAGCCTATGAACTTCACTTCATCAACCTACTGGATACAAAAAACGGTGGACTAGATATAGACAATGGATTTATGACACATAACCTGCCTAACATCTGACTCCCCAGGTAAACGCTTTACTATTTAATGGCTATATTAATTTCCCTTCCCTCCCGCACCTCCTATCTCTCACCCATTCACTACCTCAATTTACATTTTCATTGACTGGCTTTATTGCATGCATACTGGCCCTTGGCTTCTTTACTATTCCATCCAGGAAGAGCACAGACCAACTGCAGATGCTTTCTCAGCCTGACAAAGGGTATTTGTACCAGAAAGCTGGCAAAGAATTTTTCCAACTATTTGAGTGGGACTAATAAAAGATATCAGATTTACCCAAAAAACCTTGTCTGCCTATGTCCTTAGGTAAATTTTTCTGGCATTTTTTTCCAATTCTGGCCACAAAAATATAAACACCTCTGTCTCTGTGTGTATTCCTGTGTCTGAAGCAGTAAACTCAGTGGTTACTGTCTGAGAGGGCTAAACAAGGGTCACAAGATGTTACATCTAGCACTGAATTATTTATGTACTGCAGCATAGGGATTTAGGGTCATGACCAATAGAAGAGAAGATTCTGGGCCATACATCTATGCTTCAGAAACAGATACTGACTTCAAAACAAACAAAAAAACTAAAGACAACTGGGTTCCCTATTCTGTTGTCAGAGATTCTTTAACTGGCTTTATTTAAATTGGGAAATGGCAACACCTAACTAAAAATGTCCAAGTAGAAAATATTTGCCATCATAAAAATGCATTTGTATGGAAATAGGTAACAAAATGTTGCTTGGTAGAACTGTTATAAGCTAAAAGTGATGTCTGTCTAGGACACAATATGACTTAGTTATGACTACAGAATACTAGAGTAGTGCAACAAGACTAAGGATCAAGGTAGTTGCATATAATAAGGCCAAAAGATTTCATAATATTCTTAACATAAATTTGTAAATGTTTTCCATATATTTCTATAGGCTATGTGCATTTTAGCTTCTGCTTATAAAACCACTCAACTGACTCTTTTTACAAACTGACTTAGATGTCTATAATTTGTTGTGCCTATCTTGATGGTCACACAGCATCACTTATTGTCAGTTTTATTCTGCTTTCTTAAAATAAAAAAAGGCCACCACATTTCTGGTTGTGAGACGCACATTCATTTAACTCAGTAAAACTTGGCCTTTCATTTGGGAGCTCCTACTAAAGTCCATGGGAGTCTTGGTATTAAGTTCACTGGGAGCAAGGCTGGGCTCACAGAGTTATTTCTAGAAACATGCTGATTTTTTATTTAGTTAAACAGTCACACTTTTCATTCCAAACAATTTGGTGGGATGCAAGACCTAAAGTTTAATGTACTTATTGACCCCTGCAAAGTGCTTTGTTCAAAATGTTCAAAGCAACTGCAATGTGTATGGCCCCAATAGTATGCACAGGCATGTCTACATTCTGGTTTCATCCCCATCCCTCTTATTCAGCAGTGGTCCTCAGGAACAAACAATGATGTACAGCTCTATTCCATGTATGGACATGTTTTAATATCATTCCTCAGACTAAGGATGTCCAACCTGTGGCATGGGTGACACAAGTGACATGGGCAACCTCTGTGTGTGGCATGTAGCAGGTTCAGAAGGGGACAAGCAGCACAGTGACAGAGAAGGCAGTGATCAGAAAGGAGAACATCAGATCAGACAGGGAGCAAAGTGCAGGAAGCAGAAAGAACAGCAGCTTGGTCAGGGAGCGCAGGACTGGGAGCAGAAAGCTGAGCAGCACATACAGTAAGGAAAAGGGATCAAAGTGGCATGGGTGGGGAGTGCAGGGCTAATTTGTGGCATGCCTATCAAAAAGACTGGTCCCCACTGCTTTAGACTATACATCCTCTATCAATTGGCGATTCAGTTCATAATATTTAAAGCAGTGTGTCATGTTGATCACATTTGGTTAAAAATCTGCAAAAGAATAATCCTTTATCAGGTACAACAACAACAACAACATAATAACAACAATAATAATAATAATAAAAGTCAATCAATTCTTTAAAATGCACTGAAAGTCAGGCTTTCCAAACACTCTGTCATGCATATGGCTCATTCATGCACAGGTGAATCATTTTACCAAAATGTATCTAAATATAGAAAAGGAAGCATCAAAGCAATGGAATTGACAAGCAATTTAGACAAATCTGAAAATACTGTTTTCAAGGGTGCAGAATGCGGTCTTGTGCATACTGGGACTATAACAAATGGTATGTGGTTGGAAGTTTCAGATTTCCAAATGTCTCTGGTTAGTGGGGTGATAAATGATAATATTTGGAAAAACCAGTCCAGCAGCCACTAAAGTAAACGGGACCCTGAAAATATAATGGCCAAATTTGTTTACCTGATGCTAATGGACATAGATGTGGGGACCCTGATTGAGGTAAGTCAACTGACAGTACTTAATGATCTAGACTGCATTAATTCCAATATAATAAAAAGCCAGAACAAGGCTACTCTTAGAATCACTTCACTGTACATACATATATTAGTAAAGTTCAAAATTAAAACCAAAGGGAACTAAATTCAGTCATACACTGCAACTTATTAAATAATGCAAAGCTTGTCTTGCAATGGATGGGTTATGGTACATGTACAGAAACCAAATTCACAGCTAGTGTAAATCTGTATAGCGCTGGTAATTTCATGGAGATATGGCAACTTGCATCAGCTGGACTTTAGAGTCTCGTGCATGTATGATAAGGTCAAGTATGTAAGAGATATGTTATTTTAAACCACCAAACAGAAATACTTTTTTGTTGTCACTTTACATTTTTTATTCTCTTTGTGAGAAGTTAAATTCTCTAATCTTCAAACTGTGCTTACATTTGAGGTTCAGCCTTTAAAACATGCATGATCAGGTTTTCTTTTTCTTTTTTTTTAAACAATTTTAATTAGCATAATTTAAATGAAACATCGTCTACCAAAGACAGTTGCTCTTTCCCAGTAGTGAGCCCTCCAGTGCATTTTCAAGACAAAGCTCCATTTGATTTGGGAACTTCATGTGCACATAACAGAGATGTACTATACAATTTTTAAAAGATTATTCAACATTTTAAGATTATTCAACAAAAATAAATGCCAGCCTGAGAAACAGCTTAAGGAAAAGTGGTACAAAAATCTGACTTTTAAATTATCAAATGGAGTCTCTATGAATCTATACTCCTAGAATAAAATAACTTCCTAATAGTAACCATAGGGAATGGTCAGGACCTGTAGTCTGAGTTATTAGAAAAAAATCCCCTTGCACTGCTTTCCTCACATGCTAGTTGGGTTTCTCTGGCAAAAACCTTGTTAAAAAGGACAGGTTTAGTTATTTTCTTTATCTCTTTCTATCTTTTTTCTTTCTTTTCCATTTGAAGTCTAGACAGCATACTCAGGTCTAGACCTTAGGTTACAGAGGCTAAAAATTGAGTACAGTCAAGAATCAGAGAACTTGGGGTTTGGTTATTTGTATCTACTGTAAACGAAAAAGGAGGGGTTCGTGGGGAAGAGGAAAAGAGGCAGGGGGAGAAGGTAAAAAGCAGAGAAGAAGCACCTTCCAAAGGCGAGAGAAGAGAAAGAAAGCCGTGTGTGGTAGGATGAAGATGCACAGACAGCCTGCTTCTTAGTCAACTGCATGGCTGAGGCCCACATGAGGATCTGAATGAAGAGCAGACAAGAATGTGAGGAGTATAGGGCAGAGTGCCCACTCCAAGGAAGGGGAGTGCAGGCCCCCCACCAATACTGGACATGAATTGCACAGCTCTCCTGGATCACAAGAGTGGGGCAGGCTGGAACCTGGAGCTTTCCCCAGACCATCTCACAGATCTGTTCAAAAAGGCTCATAGGGCCCACCTCTCCACGCTGGTTGGAGAAGAATCTCCCTTTGGCTGTGGGGTGACCAGAGCCTGCCGGGAAGACTCTCACCTATGCATCTTCACCCCTGGTAGACTGGAAAGGGGTGGGGACAGGTGCAGGCGCTGGGGTGTGGGTCAGTATCCCAGGGAATGGGGTCTCACCTGTGTATGTTCATCTCCCGGGGTGGGCGATGTGCCTTGTCATAGGCCACTTTGGCAAAGACACCGACAATGAGCACGAAGGCGATGGCCCCGCATGAAATGTACACGGTGGCATTGGTGCTGTCCTTATCCGGGTCGTACTTGTAGTTTGGGTCCTCGGGGCCGCCCTCGGGGAATGGCAGGCCACGGGAGGTGGTCGTGGGAGCCCAGTCGGGGGTCTGGTAGTTGCGGCACTGGCTCTGGTTGAGCTTCTCGGTGCGCTTGTTGCAGCAGAAGCGGTAGTGGCAGGTGCCGCAGCAGT